AGGCCACAAGCCTATGTCCCGAAGACCGCAAGTTCGAGCCCGCCGCCGGTCACCCTGACGTGGTGGGTATATTTTTCGTGGATTTTCGTGCATATTCCAAGACTGCCACAAACATACATTGGTATGGCTATATACTCTAGACATATACATCCATCGTCGGTTGTGAAGAGGGACGCGCAGAGGGGCCGGATTGGCGGGACAAGCCGAAAAAGGTCGAAAAAGCCCAAAAAGGCAGCCATCAATTTGGTGTCTTGCTGATGTCGTCAAAGTCAATCATTTATTCTTCGATATCAGTATAAATCAACTACCCGCAGTGGTGGAACCTGAACAACCAGGAGAACCGCCCCCACGGCTGGTCTTTCTCCAAAATCACCAACGGTGTCATCCGCGACATGAAGTTATGGAAGGTACGATTTTGCAGGCGCCGCAGCGAGCGAAGGCGCTCACGTTCCGTCAGCCCATTGCATGGAACTTCAAGACTAGCGGCTCGTCTAATTTGCATGCATTCAACAACGTGATCCTCGCCGCGTCGGACAACAGCTCTGTGAGTGATCCGATGCTTCCCTTATAATATGTCTCGTCTCACGAAACACGATAGGCCTTCCCGTTCAACACGTATGTGCTGTGCTGCTCGACCCTCGTTTGAGCATTCACGCTCATCCGACGCATCCTCTCTACAGCGATGGTAAGATATCGCAAGCCTCTTGCGTAACTCCACAAGTATAACGAAGACGCTATGTCCAGGCTTCTCCGCCGGCGGCACCGATATGCTCTTCGAGAACAACCACATCGTGAACGGCGACGACTGCATAACCGTCGGCTCCGGCACCAAGAACATCCACTTCCGGTGCGTCCTGCTGAGTTCCTGCTCTATGTCACAGTATCAATCCTGAGCTCCACCCATTCTTAGCAACTCGTACTGCGAAGGCGGCCACGGCCTCTCCATCGGCTCGCTCGGGAAGAACGGCGACGTGGCGGATGTGCAGAATATCCTGTAAGCTCGCTCTGATATCTGTGGAGGTAGTCAGCTAAGCCTCGCGCTGGCAGCATCGAGAACGTCACCATGGTCAGCGGTGAACGACTCAGTCAATCTCGCCATGCTCAACTCTTACAATAGCAAAGCACCCTCTACGGCGCCCGCTTCAAGAGCTGGCTCGGCGGGAACGGGCTCGCGCGCAAGTGAGATTTGTCTCTTCACCAGCGTTTCGTCGTCTCTCTTTGTTCATGCCATATGTAACCCATTGACAGCATCACCTGGAAGGACATCACCTTCAACGACGTGCCATTCCCGGTACGCTGATCATTACTGAACCATCTTCGGTGCAGGGCATTTCAATCGGACTGATATTCGCCACAGATATACGTGACGCAAAAGTACGCTGTCACCGCATCTGTAGAAGGGTGAATGCTTCACTGACCACTGCAATTCCGTGCGCGCAGCTACTGGGACCAGGAGGTACGATGTCGCACTCCTCGCGCTTCGAGGTCATGCCCCCCGCGTTTGATTCAGCACGTTAACGCAGAACCAGGTCGGCGAGAACAACAGCACCGACACGAACAGCACGCACATCGAGGACTTCACGTTCCAGAACTTCACCGGGACGATCCGCGAGTGCGTCTTATAAACCCACACAAGTGTACAACGCCCCCCTCCTGCGTTAGTTATGCTTACCCATCCCTCTCGCAGCACCCCCTATGTCGAGGGCAGCTGCGTTTCCAACCCCTGCTGGTATGTACTTACCCAGGCGTCGAAGCTGCCTGAGCGCTGCCACTGACCTTGATCAGGTACTATGTAGCAAACGCCACCGGTAGAGAGATCGTCATCTTCGACCTTTATCCCGAGACAGGTAAGTAAAGACTCACATTGACTGATCGTCTTGACTGACCCAAGTCGGCCAGCGACCAACATTATTACCAAGGACCTCTTCCCGAAAACAGAGACCGGTGCACAAGTGGATGTGTTGTGCAACGCGACTACCGTACGTGCTGCTCTCTCCGTGCGAGAAGAGCCCGTATGCTTAACGTCCACTAGATATCCAACGACGTCGGCTTCCAGTGCGTGAACGGCCCCTTCGTCAAGACAGAGGCGGGACAATAAGCGGCGCTTACAACGAACGAACTGCATAAATCGTCCAGGCCATAATATCATAGTTTATAGGTTCAATATAGGATACGAGACAGACATACTACAAGACGCCCATACAAGGGCAGGCAAGAGACCATACAAGAGGCAAGAGGGCGAGAGACGATATATGAATCATGGTAGAGCGCTTGATGCTCCTCGTGGTGCACCCACTTAGGTACGCTCGCCACGGAGGCGGCGCGCCAGGGCAAGGTCCTTGGGCTGGATGGTGACACCTGTAAGACATACGTGAGCTCGAAGAGCAGCGCGGAGTGAAAGGGATGAACGCACGCTTAGCGTGAATGGCCGCCAAGTTGGTGTCCTCGAAGAGGGACACGAGGTAGGCCTCGGCAGCCTCCTGCAGCGCCATGACAGCCGACGACTGGAAGCGCAGATCCGTCTTGAAGTCCTGCGCGATCTCACGCACGAGGCTACGACACAACGACACACCATCAGCCATCGCATCCCCCCACACAAACACGGGCCACTCACCGCTGGAAGGGTAGCTTGCGGATGAGCAGCTCCGTCGACTTCTGGTAGCGACGAATCTCACGGAGCGCGACCGTACCCGGCCGGAAGCGATGGGGCTTCTTCACACCACCAGTGGCGGCCTATATGCGAGGAACAATTGTCAGTAAATCTAAATATTCCGGATTAGGCAGGAGCACCGCCACCAAAGTCGCTGACGCAGCAGCGACAACAACGGTGGCGGCACGACGACGAGCAGGACACTCACGGCGGCGGTCTTGCGCGCGGCCTTGGTGGCGAGCTGCTTGCGGGGGGCCTTGCCTGGGAGAGAGGAAGGGCAGTGAGCGGGCTGCACAACGCAGGCAAACGTTGTCTTATCGCACCTCCGGTCGACTTGCGGGCGGTTTGCTGGCGACGACGACGACGACGACGACGAGCACGACGGTCAGCAAAGGGTCATCAAGCACACAGACGACCAAAGCTCACCTTGGTGCGGGCCATGGCGACGAAATGGGCGGTTTAGAGCTGATTTGGCGAAGTTGCGGTGGCGAAGTGTTGGCGGGGCTCTTGGGGGGAGGAAAGAAAGGAAGGGCGACGGGCGGTCTGGGGACCCCGTCGGTTTTACGCAAGATTCCCACGGCGGCGCTCGGATGGTCCATGCGCCGCCTGTTTGGGCCCGTTTTCGCGGGACCGGACGTCGGAAGATTGGGAATATTTGCAAGATGGATTTTTGTGCGGTCTCTCGCAATCTATTCCTCTGATTTGAGCTGACATAACGATAGATAGGACCGTTCTGTACATCTCCTCATTTTGTTACGACTTTAGAGGGAGAGCAGCGTGCTGTGCAAGGCAAGCAAAGCGGAGACGCCAGTTCAGCAGTGCCCGGGGAAGTTTCCCTTTTCGGAAGTCGAAGATCCCTTCACCGCGTCTCGTCCTCGCCTTCAGGGACTCTGAGAGTTGGCAAGGCACCTCTGTACTAGAGCATGATGCCCCCACCTTTTTCACGACGTGCCAGAGGGCGTGCAAGGTGTCGAAATAAGGACAAGTCAATGGCACTGACCGTAGCACAGCCACACCTGGAACGTTCGAATCTTCCGTGCAGGCAAGCGCATTTGCGAGCTCCTTTTTGCACGCCTGTTTGTGCGCTGCATTTTCAACTTTCTCGCAAAAACAAGTACCTCAATGGCGCTCAAATTGGTCCCGCATGGTTATTGGTACACGCGATAAAGTGAGCAGTTATAATCCTCGTATGTTGTTTTCTGAGAGCATGCTGTGGAGAAGCGAACAAGAACGTATTACATAGCGTATTTGGGATACTGGATAGCAGTACATGCCGGTCGAATCGACAGAGGTATAAGTTATGCGGGGTTACATCCTCGATGGCCGAGGTACAGGGAGACAGCAACATGCGGCTCAGACGAGCTACGAATGAGAGGTCTTGAAAAATCTTCAGAATGGAGCCGGTCAGATCAACGCCCGGGTGAGCGGACACAAGGAGCGACGAGGATCGTAGGGAATTGACAAGCAAAGAAACGAGTCGGGTATCGGCAATGAGGACGTCCTGACAAGTCGCTTTCAGTCAGTGAACGACCGAACAGATGCTAGCGGAAACGCACCTCATCTGTTCTTCGACTCCTTCTGCGGCTGCGTACCAATGACCCTTCGGTTTGCGGGCCCGACCTGCGCCTCCCGCACCACGCACTGATCCACCGCAAACTGCGCGCCCAACCTCGCGACCCCGCCCACAATCCCGCCCACTATACACGCCACGCCCACGAGCACGTACACAGGATACACAAGCTCCAGGACCCAGGCAAACGTGCGGTACGGCGCAAGGACGAACGCCTGCAGGACGAGCGACGCGAACACGATCGCGGGCGCGCATAGGTAGAGCGTGGCGGCGACGAGGTGGCTGAAGAACGAGGTGTGCAGGAGGAGGGCGGTGGATTTGGAGAGGCGGTAGGAGAGGCGGGCGCTGGATGCGAGGGCGCTAGCGGAGAAGCGGTAGGCGGCGGCGAGGTAGGGGAGGGCTTTGGAGAGGTCGAGTGGGGGTGGGGAGGCGGTTTGGGAGGCGGATACGGTCGTGGTCGCCATCTTGGAGGTGTAGTATTTGCTGAGGTCTGTGTCAAAGCATGGAGATGCAGTAAGTGTAAGTGTATTTTGTCCTTTGCATTGGGGCAGAGGCAAGGCAAAGAAAGGAAAGATGGTTGTGCAGATGTTCGGACGCCTCCCCACACTCGGTAGGCCGGACCGAGACCCAATTTCCCACGCCTCCCAAGTTCAACAATACCTTCGAAATGTTCCCTTCATCGCATATGAAGGAAATATGAGGCGGATTGAAAAGAAGGGTATCCTCTGCGTTTTCCGGAGGAATTTGGTGAAAAAAAAAGCTATACGAAATACACTCCAGAGGCCCTGCCAGGGATCGAACCTGGGTCACGGGAATACTGATTAGGATTCATCAGAATCCCGGGTGATAACCGCTACACTACAGAGCCGATGGTCAATAGCACACTGACCGTGTTACAGCCAGAATACAAGACTGAGACGCAAGGAACGAACAAGGAGAATCCCCCTCCCCTTGCCTCCCTTCAATGAGAAGAAGCATACACACCGTAGAGGTGTGTACGGAAAAAGCCCCATCGATTGCAAGGACTTCAATGCAAGGACACGGACTCACACGGTGCCTGGTAACCCAAGGCCAATTAAACGGTGAAGCATCCTTTTACTTACGCCGTGCGCGCAATATTTGAGTATCAGTACAAGTACGGTGACAGCACCGTGTGGGCTGCAGGATAGGGTACCGTAGGCATAGGCGACAGGGTAACATAGATATGCTGAGTGTGAAGACAACCGACACATCTCGGAGGACAGGCGTACCGGCGTGCAGAGTCACGGATTCCGAGTGTAGAGTCCAGCCCGTGCGTCGAGGCAGTTCAGCCCGTGCGAGACGTCGAAGGGTACAGCTTGGCAAATACCCATTCGCGCACATAGTATCGATTCGCGCATGCACAAAAACAAACAAAATATGGCATGGTCAGCCAGTCGCACCTGGTAGTAGGTCCTGGACCGGTGCGTCGCAGGATAGCATGTATTTTTCTACTCATAGCGACGGAGGCGAGGAGTATCGGCGTCCTAGCAAGTGACGCGCGTAGTACCAAGTAGCGCGACATGGTGGTGGACTTGCCAAAGACCTGCCACTGAAGCATATCTTGCCGACGTGTAGTATATTGTTCTCAGAGTCGTAGCGTGGCGAAGGGGCGTAGCGTTCCGAAGGGGTCGTACCGTACATCTTGTCGGCGAGTTACTGGCAGACAAGCGAACCTGTAATTGGCAGACAGGTGAACTTCCCTGATATATGTGAGTCGTTGGGCTTGTCCTCTAACGGCGCTATGGGTCCACCAACGAGCATCTTCGGGTTACCATCTGAGTTACCATGTCGGTCAGTCACGCATCGGCTGAGTCGTCCTTCCGAGGCGTATGGGGGAGCGAGTGAGGGGGGGATCAGGTGGTAGAGGCCCGGAGCATGTTTGGAGTATGGTTGACATATTTGACGCTGGACTGACGCCTCGTAACCTCGCAAGCGAGTAGGGAGGCAAGAGAGATGGAGATTTGAGGCGTCGGTGGCGAACGAAGAGAAGTGCTGGAGAAGTGTGGTGTAGACCGACGCCGGACGGTCGGAGGCTTCGAGAAGTCGGAAGTTCAAGATGCGATGAGTAACACGAGGCGCGACGTTGAAGCAACGTAGTGGATTGAGCAGCGGTCGGGGTACATCGTCCACACTTGAGAATCTGAACAAATCGAAGCGGGGCAAAGAGTGCCGGCGGGTGAGGATAAGGGCGGAGGAGAGTTAGGCACGAGGTACGGTGAGGACGAGCAACTGTGATTTTTCGCTGCACCGCCCTTGTCTAAATAGACCACGGCGAGCCCTGCCCGCGCGCCAGCTTCAACGGAAACGAAGACGAGGCCGCACCAGAGCCGCATGCGCCGCGAGTTGCCAGCGAACAACAACAACAACTTGAACTTCGAGTTGTTGGACTTGAAGTCTTGAACTGCAAGGGCGGATTGGTTTGCTGTCACGTCGCGGCCCCGCAGCTGTCACACCAAAATTAGTCCCTTGAAAGTCACACTGACAGTGCTCCTCCTCGGTCCCCGCCGACCCCCACCTTCCTTTCCACCACCATGGCGCGCCACGCTGCACTGGCCGCAGCTCTCCTCCCCGTGCTCGCCGTCGCCGCCATCGACAGCCAGTGGCTGCAGTCCTCATACTCTGGCGGCGAGAACCCGCCAGGCTGGCAGGAAGGCGACGCCCTTAACCAGACCGTATACCTTACCGGCGGGGGCGACGATATCGCGGGCGCCACCCAGCTCGACCACTGCCCCACCATCTTCATCGGCAGCGCCGCCGTGGACGGCGGCTCGGACGAGGGCTGGCAAGCCCTGCCCAATGTCACCGGCTTTGATCTCCAGCGGCTCCCGTTAAAGGGCTACGGCGACGCCGTGCTCCCGTACTATGTCGAGCGCGGCAAGGACGCGAGCAACATTAAGCGCGTCGTCTTTGCCCAGCCGGGCAAGCCCAGAGACGCATGGTGCGTCAACTAGAGCTCACTCTATCTGACGATCACTAACTCGCCTTGCAGGAAATACGTCAACCGTGCGTGTCTATCCCACCTTTGTGTATCTGCGCCCTCGCCTTCTACATGACTGCAGCTCCCGCTTCTTCTCACATCGCTGACCTTTCTATCCAGTCATTCGCAACTCGTTAATCTGCGCCGCCGCCAACGATACCAACCCGGTCAACATGGACGAAATCCTCCTCGCCGCCCCCGTCTGGCTCAACGACTACGACGCCAAGGCCGGTGCCGCCGGCCCCAACGACATCTACTTCAAGTCCAGCCGCTGGTTCGAGGGCGGCATGTCCGTCGGCCCCAACGACACCGACATCTCGAGCGTCACCGCCATGGACCTCCTCGTCTCCCACTTCCTCGACACCTCCGCCTACCCGGCCGTCAACCAGCTCGTCACCGCGGGCCACAGCATGGGCGCGCAGTTCGCGCAGCGGTACGCGCTCATGCGCGACGCCCAGGACGGGGACGACATGATGCGCTACTGGATCGGCAACCCGGGCAGCTTCGCGTGGCTGACGGACACGCGGCCGAAGGCGATCAACGACTCGTGCGCGGACTCGTACAATTCGTGGCCGTACGGGGGGCAGACGACGCACGCGCTGCATCCGTTCCCGACGACGTACAAGAAGGAGTTCAATAGAAAGTGGGATGATGTGGTGAAGCGGTATCGCGCGCGCTACATGCGCCATGCGCAGGGTCTGGCCGACAACGGGGCTGGGGACACGCATTGTGAGGCGCAGTCGCAAGGAGCGACGCATTTGGAGCGTGGGCAGGGCTTTGATTCGGTATGCGCCAAACCATACACTCGGCCAAATCTCACTCAATTACTATTTCCTGCAGATGCTCCAAGGCATGGACGGCGGCATGCCCGGGCGCACCAAGTTCGACTACCTGCCCGACGTCTCGCACCAGGACTACCCGATGATGGCCGCCGTGATCTCGCAGTACCGGATGTTCATCGAGAGCAACGGGGACGACGACTCGGACACGGGCGTAGACCCTGGCGCGGCGGGCGATGGGGGGCCGAAGGCGAATGATGGGCATAGCGATAATGGGGCGACGGGCCTTGTCCCCCTGGAGTGGGTCAAGGGCGTGGCGCTGGCGATGGCGGTGGGCGCGGTGGTGTTGTAGATGTGACGTTCTTGTTCACGACTGCAACGCTCTGTGCATGCCCGTCCTACCACGTCTCACATTACGCTCCTCCTCCAACCCTGCCCCTCTGTTTGCGTACTCCTTGCCCGTCTGCTCGCGTACCTTCCCAGTCTGCTCGCGTACCCCACCCCCACCCTCGCCCTCTCGAACCGTCGTCGGACAGCCTTTTACCACACCCACACACACATCCACACCCACAAGCCTCTCCACAACCGAACTCCTCCATCCATCGATCCAACGCAGAACCGACAGTCGACCTGTCACAGAATCGACCCCGAACCCTTCCCGTCGTTACACCAAGCATGGGACAAGCTCGCTACATTATTACCAACCAATCTAGCCTCCTTCGCGTCGCTGAAGGTTCTTCTAAGTTACTCTCCATCCGCACCACGCAGACTTCCACACCGCGAAGACTTGTTTACGCGTGCGCAGACGTCTTGTTTGCACGAAGGCCTACTTACCCGCAAAGACTTGTTCACTCGCCGCAAAGACTTGCTTACTCGCCGGCGGTCGCCGCAAAGACTTGTTTTACTCGCACAGACTCGTCCCAACGCACGCACCTCTTCTTATAAATACCCTGTTTAATTAGGTTACTAGCGCGCACACAAATATGGACATTATACTGGGTTGCGAGGCGTGTTCGGTAGGCGTGTCGGGGGTAATCTTCCGAGCGTGCGGGAGTCGCTGTGCGAGCGTGCCAGCGGGGCTCGTCCTGCGAGACCCGCGGCACGTAAGTACGTACGTATGTACCTGCCACTAGAGTAGTGGTCACCGGTTACATACTGGTCACGACTGGCCGCGATGCCTCGCACGTACGTCTTTCGATGTATGTAGGTATGACGCCTTTCCTCGTTCTGTGTCCTAGCCTCTCAGACCTGACTATAGCTCTCACAGCGCCGGTGGTGCTGTGAAAAAATATGAGATTTCTGGGTATTTACGGGTACTTTTGAAGGCCGCAGCGCATATGCGGATAGATATGGATATCCCGGGGACGTTTCTACAAAATGCGGATAGAATTAGCCAGAAACACCCCAAATCGGTGCGGATAAAACTGGTCACAAAAGCCGAAATTTGCGAAGAGGCCTCTCAGCCTATTGTCAGGGATCCTAGTCGTCCCCGTTGCTCTCGATGAACATCCGGTACTGTGAGATCACGGCGGCCATCATCGGATAGTCCTGGTGTGAGACGTCGGGCAAGTAGTCGAACGTGGTGCGTCCGGGCATGCCGCCGGACATGCCTTGGAGCATCTGGGAAAGGGGCGGTGGGTCAGTGAAATGTTCGCGGAAATGATGATGATGCGGCACGTACCGACTCAAAGCCTTGACCACGCTCCAGATGGTTCGATCCCTGCGCCTGCGCCTCACAATGCGTGTCGCCGGGACCGTCGTCGGCCAGACCCTGCGCGTGGCGCATGTGGCGCCCGCGATACCGCTCGACCACATCGTCCCACTTCCCATCAAACTCCTGCTGATACGTCGTCGGGAACGGATGCAGGGCGTCCGTCGTCTGCCCCCCGTACGGCCACGAATTGTACGAGTCCACGCACGAGTCGTTGATCGCCTTCGGCCGCGTGTCCGTCAGCCACGCGAAGCTGCCCGGGTTGCCGATCCAGTAGCGCATCATGTCGTCCCCGTCCTGCGCGTCGCGCATGAGCGCGTACCGCTGCGTGAACTGCCCGCCCATGCTGTGGCCCGCGGTGACGAGCTGAGTGACGGCCG